TGACAGGTTGGACATGGGGCAGCGGTGTGCCCTGGTGGCCAAGAAGGCCAATGGGATCCTGAGGTGCATTAAAAGGATCATGGCCAGCAGGTCAAGGGATGTGATCCTCCCCATCTGAACTGAGTCTGTTCAGCCTTGAAAAAAAATGACTCAGAGGTGAACTTATATATGTTTACAAATATCTTAATTGTGGGAGGCAAAGAGACATGGCCAATCTCTTTTCAGCAGTCTGCAGGGACAGGACAAGGGGAAACAGCTGTAAACTGGAGCATAGGAAGTTCTGCACCAATATGCAAAGGAACTTTTCATGGTAAGGGTTACGGAGCACTGGAAAAGGCTGCCCAGGGACGTTGTGGATTCTCCTTCTTTGGTGATATTCAAGACCCAGCTGGACGCCTACCTGTGCAACCTGTTGTAGAGAGCCTGCTTTGCAGACAGGTTGGACTCCACAATCTCTGGAGGTCCCTTCCAACCCCTGCAATTCTGTGATATGGCTAATCTGATGGCTGAGATTGACCTCCATTGTATATGACAGCATAATTGCTTTCAGGTCACAGTGGTATGCAAAGGAGAGTTTCATAAGTGATGAGTAACAGGAGACTGAGAAATAATGCCCTGTTTTTCGTTTTCCATAGTTACTGGGAGTAGAAATGCAAAGAGATCAACGGGTGAATTTCCAAGACTTGTCTATTGAATGCTAAAGACACATTTAAGTCTGGCTCCCTTGTTTTTTGCTGATGTTACTTGGAAAATAGATAGTTAAAATCGGGAACCAAGCAAAGATTTATTTGCCTTTGTTTTTAATATTTCATGTTTTACTATAAAATCATTCATGTTTATGCAATTGTGAAGGATGAGCTGAAACATGGAATTTATCAGCTGAGACAAATCACAGAATATGACTGTCTTCAGTCCCTGGTCCCACTTTGAAAATCTAGCCTCCATATCCTTGTCAAAGTTAAGATGAATAGAGGTCAGATAAATAAATAATTGAAGCCTCTTTGGATACAGTAGAGAAAAAGTTTTTTTCCTCTTAAAGATTTGAGCAACCAGTGTTCAGCTGTCAGTCAGCTGCATGAATAAGTATTTCATAATCAAAGAGATTTCAAGGTGAAAAGGTGAAAAAGAAAACCATGAGGCAAATGTACTGATGCAAGATAAGTTTAATGACAGGGAAGTACAGTGCACATTTGGTGAAGGTGATCACAGAGCACACAGGTTGTTTCCCTGCAAGCTCAGTGCAGCCCAGGAATGGGAGACATTGGCTTTTCAGAAGTAACCACAGCTTCCCCCACCAGACCTGCGGGACCCAGAGGAGCCGAGGCCTCCATAGCAGCTCGCTATGCTAAGGGAGCGCCCTCCCCCAGAGGAGCCACCGCCGTAGGAGCTGCCTCCTCCAAAGCCACCTCCGTAGCAGCTCCTGGAGCTGATGGATCTTCTGCCTCCAAATGAGCCCCCAGATCCAAATGACCTGCCCCCTCCATAGGAGCCCCCTACGCCTCCTCCGTAGGAGCTGCCTCCTCCATAGGAGCCACCAGAACCAAAAGAGCCCCCAGATTCACTGGGGCCCTGTGGCCCTGAGAAGCCTCCAATGGGTGACGGGAATGAAGAGCCCACGACGCTCTCCTGTGGGCAGGAGTTGAGGATGGGGCCTGGGAAGTTGATGAGCACAGGTGGGGGATAGATGACAGCACGGGAGTCCGCACAGGAGGTGACGCAGGGCTGGCTGCAGACATTGGCATAGGGCTGTGGGCAGGTCACCTCACAGGGTGCGGAGCATCTGCTGCTCATCATCTGTCCTCCTGAAGACATCTTTTGTGATGCAGATATACCTGCAGCAGGAGGTAGAACAGAAGGACAGAGCTCAGAAGCTGGAGTGAAAAAAGCTTGCAGCACTGAAGTTTTGCATCAGCAAGGAAAAAAGGTGAAAGATGACTTGAGAAATGTTCAGATTTATCTCCCTTACAAATTTTTCTGCACATGCATGAACATGAACTAGCCAGCTGGTACATCACAATTGAATCCCTGCTGCTCTAGAAATGCTGATTAACATGGAGAGCAGAGCCAAAGTCTATGAGTCTTTAGAAGACTTTTTAGATTTTGTTGGTTTACAACGCATAGCTCTGGAGCGATCAGACAACACTGAATTGATTGGAACATCTGCAAAAATTCAGTCTTACTGTTAAAAATCTGTATCTATAAAGATATGCTTCAAAATGACATTAAAAGTAGAAGGAAACAACATAGCTTAGCAGCACCTTTCTCATACAAGAACTTTGTACTCAGAGAAGAGCAGAAAATAGTTTTCTAAAGCTTCCGATAGAGAATGAAGGAGATCGAACTCACCGGATCTGGAGAAGTGTAGATGGAGAGCGGCTGTGGATGAGACTGCAGCACTCAGAGCACTCGTATTTATATCCCTTCTCAGACCACCAGTAGGATGTGAGCTATGCTTTGTGCAAGAGCTTCCTACCTATTGCCAAACTGTGTTTTGCTATATGGATTATTTCGTTAATTGTTCTAATTGTTCTCTTAAGTGATGTGATCACAACTTTATTCTCAACTCCAAGTCACGTTACAAGCATTTTACAAGCATAATGAGTTTTAGCTTATTCTCTGACCATGACAGATTCACATAGCAGTTGATACTATTCCCGGCCCTCACCGAAACTGAAATGGGAATGGTGCTATAATTCTATGTAAGGACTCTATCCAGCTGATAAACTGCTTTTATGCATAATATTCCATTTCTCTTCTTCAAAATTGGGGTAGTAACAGTTGGGTGACAAACAGAATGCTGCCACTCACCTGTGGTGGGAAGAAGCAGAAGGCAGTGCCCAGGGTCCTCCATGTAAATTGGTATTTCTCAACTGTAGACGATTGACATTAACTGAGCAGCTAACGAAGAACTGCTGACTAGCAAAAACTGTCACATCATGAGCTGCCCACTGATGCCTGACAGAACTCGTTTGCATTCTGATGCAAGGTTTTAACTGTGTAAGCTCTTCGTGCTCTATTTTCTAATGGTGTATGAAAACACAGGAATCCTGTGAGGGAAACATTAAGTACAGTGTGACAACTGGAACAGGCTGGAAACCAAACCAATTCGTTTCAGATCATCTGCGGTTGCTCTCTTCCCATAGCTGTGATTGAGAGCCAAAGTCGACAATTACTTCAGATTATTTGGACTCAGCAACAAAGCACTGAAGTTGGATGTTTGATACTGCTGTCATCTGTCCACCTGATGCTTGTTACAACCCACAAAAAGGTTGATCACATCTGATCATCCCCCCCTGGTTATTGGTAAAGGAGATTTTGCATGGAGAGATCTCTTTGTATTTAAGGACTCTTAGCCCTGTCTTTTGGTACATGAGACTTCCAAGCACTATTCCAGAAATACTGCTGGGGTATTCATGAATAAAATAAAATAAGAGTCTCTTTCCATTCTTAAGACTCTTACAGTTGTTTTATTGTAAACCACCTTTAGGCACACTCCGCATGCATCCATTCCATGCCCAAAATGTCTTTATTTTTTCCCTTAGTGATGCCTCCTGGAGAACGTCAGTCTTGCTAAACCATCACAGCTCTCCTTGAAGGTGACAAAAGAAGGAGAGCAATAAAAGCATTAAATGTTCTCACGCAGTGCTTCCTTGTAGTTAATTGGATGACAGTGTACGTTTGACGAAGGTCCTCTGTAAGCAGTTATTTGGGTGGATGTTAGATAGAACTGACCTGCCCCATCCGAGGAGCTGCAGGGATGAAATTCGCAACTCTCCCAATTATTTGCAATTCTTAATTTCAACAGAACCTTCTGCAGAACAGAAAATGTTTCCCCTCACAAAGGAAAACTCGTGTCTTTGTCGTCCTCAAGACTGATGCCTTTACCTTGGTCAGCAAACAGGGCTCAATTCATTGCCACTGCATTTCAAATGAGGTCAGGAGATGGCACTAGTCATAAAAACGAATAGAAAAAAAAACCATTTAGGCATTACAGTAAGACAAAGGGCGTGTTGAGTATATAGAATGATGCGGGGCTGATTTACTAGCCATTATCAGTTATCAAAACAATTATTACAATTAGAAGTAGCTTATACAGCAAAATGCTTTGCTGGCTAACTACTATGCCCCATGTGCTGGAGTGTGTTGCGTATCCTGCTAGCAGTTGGAAGGACTGTATAAAAGCACTGCATTTCTTCCAGGTTCACCAACGACTTCACTTCATCAGGTTTTCTCTGTGAGCCTGGTAAGTATTTCTCCTTAACTTCCTTTACAGTTACTGAGATGTTTCTATTGCTGTTTAACTGGGGAATGAACTCTGTGTCAGTTCTCTGTGATGCTCAGAAATGTTGGTTTTGTTAAATATTAGGATATTTGTAAGCCATTCAGCTGTAGCCAACGGTAGATAAGTGGTCTTAAAATGTGAGGCTGTGTTCATCCAAACTACAAAGGGAAGGGGTCAGTTAAGTCCCCTTAATTTGATAAGGAGGTTACAACTTGGAACTCGGCAGTCATTAAGAGATGTGTATATATTAATGCAAAAGACATAACCTCAGTTGATTTTTGCTTTGTAACTACACAGTCTGACAAATCTGGTTCCAAAATAACCCATTAATTGACAACATTGAGGCAGAAATGGGTCTCTAGCAGAACTGATCAGTGGTGGAACACTAATCAGAACAAACACTGGTTCAGAACCAAGGCAGGAGGAAGGTACTTTGGAAAGAATTATTCCTTACTGGCTGCTACACCAGACTGCAAGAGAAGTTGCTGTAGGATCTGTATTGTTTAGACTTAGCCGTACTGAGCAATAATATTTCAGTTTGGACAGAAGATAAGAAGAATACAGTAAGAAAATAGTCTCATATTGTAAGAAAATAATTCATTCTATAGGAAGCACACAGTTTGTGTCATCACGAGTCTGGTACGAGAGCACAGAGATGCACGTATGTTTTATTTTAACTCCTTTACTCACTGCTGCAGGTATATCTGCATCACAAAAGATGTCTTCAGGAGGACAGATGATGAGCAGCAGATGCTCCGCACCCTGTGAGGTGGCCTGCCCACAGCCCTATGCTGATGTCTGCAGCCAGCCCTGCGTCGCCTCCTGTGGGGACTCCCGTGCCCTCGTCTACGCTCCGCCTGTGGTCATCACCTTCCCAGGCCCCACCCTCACCTCCTTCCCACAGGAGACCATTGTGGGCTCTTCATTCCCATCACCCATTGGAGGCTTCTCAGGGTCACTGGGCCCCAGTGAATCTGGGGGCTCTTTTGGTTCTGGTGGCTCCTATGGAGGAAGCAGCTCCTACGGAGGAGGCGTAGGGGGTTCCTACGGAGGGGGCATAGGGGGCTCCTATGGAGGGGGCAGGTCATTTGGATCTGGGGGCTCATTTGGAGGCAGAAGATCCATCAGCTCCAGGAGCTGCTACGGAGGTGGCTTTGGAGGAGGCAGCTCCTACGGCGGTGGCTCCTCTGGGGGAGGGCGCTCCCTTAGCATAGCGAGCTGCTATGGAGGCCTCGGCTCCTCTGGGTTCCGCAGGTCTGGTGGGGGAAGCTGTGGTTACTTCTGAAAAGCCAGTGTCTCCCATTCCTGGGCTGCACTGAGCTTGCAGGGAAACAACCTGTGTGCTCTGTGATCACCTTCACCAAATGTGCACTGTACTTCCCTGTCATTAAAACTATTTTGCATTCAAACTCAACTCTCTCTATTTTTTTTTTCCTCTTAATCTGTGTTTTCAAGTCACCTTTTGAGTAATTCAGAAGATCTACAAGTGTTCCAAATGAGAATCCAACCCCTTTATTACACCAAAGTGTTATGGTTGATGGGTAAGATTGATAAATCTTACACCAGATCCTTCGGTGTTTGTGGTAAAGTCATGTGGCATAGAATCAAAAAGGTAAATCAACCAGTGCCTTCCTAGAAATACAGCCTAGTGACAGCCATGTTCCTTTTGAGAACAGGAACCTGCAATACCTGTTTAAATCAATTATAATGTAATAATTTGTTGATATGAAAGGCTTTGGTTTTTGATTTTTCTAAAGAATTTCTGGATATTGGGATCTGTGTGCATGTCTGCCCTTGGGCTCTGGCTTAACTAAGTGCTCCATGTGCCGCTTAATTCCTTTGTGGATACTTTCCCATAATAAAATGACTCATCCTTATGAATCTGGTCATGCCACTCTGCTCACTATGCTTTTGTGCCAGAAGGAACTTCTGGACTATTTAAACCAGAAAATATAACCCAGTACTTTAAATCTACTCCATAATTTCCCACTTTCGATTTAAAATCTTTTGGGAATCATTCATCCCTGCCAAATTATTTCAATTGCTAATTGTAGTTATAATGATTTATTTGCATGTTCTTCCTTCTCTAATCACAGCCTATTTGGAGAGATCTCCCCTTTGCCCACAGTTATTTGCATCTATTCTTGATCTTATTTCACAGAAACTGTCCAGCACCTTTGATTTACTTACTGTAGAGGGGCTCACACAAAGGGATATGAAATTGTACAACATTTCTTCAAGGAGAAAGGAAGTAAAAACCCTTTTATATCCAGTGGGATAATAGGAGATTAAGTCATTGGCTTACATTGCAACAAAGAAGAGCAAAATCAATTTGAGGGGGAAAGAACTCCCAACTGCAGAAGCAGTGAGGTGCTGACATACAAATGAGACAGTGGCATCCCAGGGCTGGGACACTGTTGAGAGCAGCTCTGTCAAACCTTTTCCAGAGATAATTCAGGGGAGAGTATGGGATGAGAAACCTCAGCAGTTCTCTTTCTGTAGCTGCTTCATACAATTGCACATTTTTTTTTACAAAACGATCTTTTTTTTTTTTTGAGCCCTTTGGTTTGCACAGCAGATTCTGAAAGATGTTCTCCTCCTCAAGCAATTCACATCCATGTAGTTTGCCTGTTCATAACCACACTTGTTACTTCTCTAGTTTCTGAGTTCTCCAAAAATCCTCTCCCAGTGGTGTCTGCACGACTACCTCCTCATCACTGCCTGTAAAAATGCAAACAGGTATCATCAGGAGAATAAATGCATGTGTGGATGGGAAAGCTGGGCTCAGGTGCTCCCTCTAGAGTTGCTCCCAGAGCTCAGGTAGTCGAAGGAGGCTGCTGCAGAACTGCTCCTGCTGTGGGTTCTGTGGGAAGGGAGGCTGAGGCTGAAGCTGAGGCTGAGGCTGAGGCTGAGGCTGGAGGAGTCCTAGGCTGAGGGCAGGAGGCTGAGAGCAAGATGCTGAGTCTGAGGGCTGGAGGCTGAGGGTAAGAGGCTGTGGGCTGGAGGAGTCCTGAGACAGAGGGCTGGAGGCTGAGGCTGAAGGATGGAAGCTGAGGCTGAAGGGGCCCTGAGGTTGTGGGCAGAAGGCTGAGGGTAAAAGACTGAGGCTGAGGGCCAGAGGGGTCCTGAGGTCATGGGCATTGGTGAAAGCCCAGGAGGAGGCTGCCAAGTGGGCTGAGCACCAGCAAAATGCAGGAGGTGAGCTCAAAACTAAGGGAAGGAACTGGGTGGTGCCAGGCTCTGCTTTCTGAAGGTGCCAGAAGCTGAAATGTCAGGCTGTGCCTGGGCAGAAACCATTGAAATCCTCTCTCAGCATCACATCTCATCTCCCCTGAACAGCTCCAGAACAGTTGGTAAAAGCTGCAGCTGCAGCTCTCTCTGGGTAAGAATAATTCTGATTGTCACCATGCTCTTGGGTTCATCCAAGCAAAGGGTGTTTGTGTACACTGAATAGTTTCTGGGTTCCTAACCTTCCCCCTTTTCCCCCCTCCCAGTACCCATATGTACGCATTTTCCTTTATTGGTGATGTTGCAACTTCTGTGCTATCAATTATCTCTTGGAAGCAAAGGGATTTCAGAGGATCCTGTAGGCAAGAGCACTTATTGGAAATGTTCTGAGGAAATGCTTTCAGACAGTTTTGCAAACACCCACTAATGTTTTATACATGCAAAGTGTTGTGGTGTTAGGAGGTTAATAACAGGCTGCCAGTATAAAACTCCACAGTATTGAATCATAGCGTCACTTTAAAATATATATGCCAGGGCCACCCATGTGATTCTCTGATTCAAGCAATGATAAGCACCTTGGGAATTTGGATCTCTTTGTTTTGTTTTGCTTTTTGATTAAAAGCCAGCTCTGCATTTGTTAGCCTAACCATACTATTTAAAATACGTTGGCCAAATATTCACCTTTCCAAAACAGGGCATATTTACAAAATGAAATATTATTATGCTATCTGAGGGGGCTGGATCTGTGCCTCAAACACAGGGAGATGCTGTTCATCACAGCAGGTCAGACTGGGCACAGACTGGTAACTCTGAATCACCAAAGCCTTCCTGAGCAATCTTAAATAAAGCAGTGGTGTTCTTTTCCCTGGCCAGCCTGCATGGTAAATGGGGATGTTCCAGCCTTGCTTGCTTTGCCAGAGCTCTGCTCCCTTATTCAGGTCAGGCACACTCAGGTCTCCATATTTAGGAATTTTTCTGACCATAACCACTGGAGAAGTGACTGGAGAGACAGTGATTTAATCCAAACCAGACTGAGCAGTTCCTAGATCCTGCTGTCACCAAAGAGAGCTTTCTCCCTTCATGTTTCTTCCTGCGTTTGGCTGAGGCTGCTGCCACACCAAGCCCTTGCATAGTAATGCATCCCTGCTTGGAAGAGACTCAGACATGAAGTGAGGAGCGACTACAAGCAAAGCTCAGCCCCAGGAGTGTCTCTCCAAGGCAATCCTGGACACTACACTCATACAGTGACTACAGTTTCTGTAAACATGCCCTAACTAGCTTCAAACTAGCAAGCACACTTACTGCTAATATTAGGTTAGGCTCTTATGCATTCTTGGAGGTCAAGATGCTTAGGGAAGGAAAACAAACCCCTGTTTTCTAAAGGAATGGAGTCCCACAGAGGCTCTGAGGTTGCTGCAGCATGGCTGGGGTTGTGTGCAAGCCAGTGCTTACTGCTATAGGCTGCCTTCATGCTCTCAGGGCTTCAAGAAGGGGTTTAATGCTTAAAATCCTGAAATGAAAGGAATCTGGGGATGGGACTGTTGAAGTCACATGCTGGTTAGAATAGGGTAATCAACACAAACAGCAAGCAAAACAATTACTGTAATTACACGTCAAATTTTGTTTGGGGAGTAATGGAACCTAATGCACAAATATGACGTTATTTTCTTGCATCAGCCTGGTGGTCCAGGACAGTATATAAAACCACCCATGATTCAGACACCTTCCAGCAGGTTCTCGTGACTTCTCCTCGGTGAACAGAGTAAGTTGGATTCTGATATAATTTCTTCTTTCTAAAAAGAAAACAAAAGCAAAAACAAACAAAAAAAAAACCCAGAAGATCAGCATTTATTGAAATATCTGGGTGAATTCTGGGGTTGAATTTTGGATCAATATTCTGCAATTTTGTATGATCGTCAGGAATTTATTTTCATAAGAAATTCATTTGCTTGTTATTCATTTGAAGGCAGCAATGGACTGAGGCTTTAAAATACATTTGAAATCTGGATAAAATTAAAGACGTCTACTTTTGTCATACAGAGATTTAATGTATAAGGCCTTTAGGGAGCCATGGTTTATTTTAGCAAGCAGTACACATCTGGCAGCGTTTTTCAGACCTCGTGGCTACTGATTGTTATCTTACCTTGGGCAGAGACAGGATGGGTGAATATTGAGATAGGCAATACAAACAGTGAGATGGTGAGATGGCTGCAGTCACCCCTCGGAGCAGAGGCAGCCCTCAGGACACCGCGTGTCTGTGGATGTGGCCCTGCAGAGCTCCTGGTCTGAATTTGGGAATGCTGCACCTGAGACCCTCTTTGGGCACTTGTCCTGAATAGCCCAGGACAATATTTTGGCATTGCTAAATGCAGCTCTGCAGAAGAAATGGGGAAAAAAGTGAATGTCTACTTAAGGTGTACATTTCTCTGGGAGTTGCTTTGGGTGTTTTTCTACTATTTATGCAAGAAAATGCTCTTATGCAAAGCATTCAACAGGCTGTGAAAGCATATATTAACCTATATATACGTTTCGTACTGCATGTATGGATTTCTTAGGCATTCATTTCCCATGGTTTTGATTCTGCTGAGGGAGTTGCAGGTCAGTTGAAGAGCACTGGATTGATAAAAAGAAGCAGCTTGAAAGGGTGGGAGCCTGAAGATACCTGGATTAGAGCTTAAAGGCCAGGAGAAGCTTAGGTGAATAATGTCTATTTTGGCATTGTGTCTAAAACAAAAAACAAACAAACAAAATCCAAGAAAAATAGCTTGAGTCAAATTGAACCCCACCTAGGCTTTTCTAATATACTGCTGAGCTAGAGAAAAAAAAAAGAAAAGGTAATCATTTTGGCTAAAAAAAGAGTACTCCGTTCAATCTCAAACAACAGACTGCCTACCTCCTTTATTAGGCCCTTTGATTAGGCATTTTCATAAGCTTGAAATGACAGCTCAAAATATAGTTTTATGTTTCCAAATTATTTCTCCACTCTTTGATTTAGTTTGAAAGCAAAAGAATCCACGGTGTCTCTTCGGGGTTAACACTTGCTTAGCTTCAGCATTG